GTGTCGTTCATCCATTCCTAGAAATATAGTGGCTGCACAATCTCATCTATCACACCCAATCTTGGTAAAAATAAACGTACCACATATTCGGATTAGCAAGCCATGCACGTAAAAGGAAGTTGGAAACCCTAACGACTAAACATGGGATTTTACGTCTGCTGCCCCTATACTGTAGTTTTTAGACACTGAAAATGGTGAAGAAGGACTGCAATGGAGGACACGATGATCTGGGTCTCTTTTCCCACGGCCTATACATGTTGAAGAAGAAGGCCAATGAGATTTTATTCATTTTATATACATGGGCCACCAGCCACGGCAAGAAAGCCAAATCATCTTATACGAAAATAGTTTTGAACCATTTAAATACAAGCAAAACGCACTCATTTTTTATGTTAATTTTAGTTTTTCAATGAAGTCATGAAATGCTTGTCACTCTAGCTATATAAAATACTGAATTTGTAGGACATGCACTACTAATACAAGTCTTGAATGGTTGTTTTTTGTGACGCCCGAGTACAAGAAACAAGTTTAACGAAATTTCAGTTTCTTCACAGAAACAAATACATTCACCACCGCGGGCCCTCTCGCCTAGTCACTGATTCATGTAGTTTCTGTTGGGAATTTATGACACGACCCGTCCCGAATCACCCTGTGGACCTGAAACGTGACGTGCGCCGATGATAGATGCTGACTAGATGTCAAATCTATTACCAAGGCTGACTATGAGTTATTTCAAAAATACAACAAAATCAATGCTTATGTAAAACATAATGCGATGGGCCCAAAATATTTATTTCGTGCTTCATCAATATGAGTTATAATATTTAACATGTCGTGTGGCTCTCATTCCGAAATCATTAGGCTCTTCCAGCTAAAAAGAATCAATTACCACCTGTAGGAAAAATTGTGGGAAAATATATGAGTTGATAACTCAGTGAGTGGAGAGGTTCAAAATAAATATATTTTTTCATTTATACATTTTTATTGAAAATCAAATTCATACCATTTGATAATTCACAAGCTACCATCATGTAATTATAACCAAAAAGTGAAATATTCACATAATGTCATAAAAATATCATCTTAAAATCATGATATAACATCAGCTGATAACCACGTTATAATCTCATCACATCAAACGTGCTGACCAATCCACCAAAAATGTACCTTCTAACTGAATTATGTAATCTGCCCATCGGGCTAAAAATTTTCGTCACGGGCCTTTGGCCCCTCCGTGAACGAAAGTCGGTCTCAAAGACTTCTCAAAATCAATTCTAGAACACGGTCAAGGCCCCTCAGTGAACTATATGTACATGGTCGAGACCCCTTCATCCCCGATCCATGACCCCTCAGTGTAGTATAGAACACGGCCAAGGCCCCTCAGTGAACTAGAAAAAATATATAATCACGGGTACTTTTCTGGTCGATTTCAAAATTATATCTCATATTCCAATTCACAATGTAACGTATACAATCTTTGAAATCCCACATGTATCATAATAAAAGATATTTCCATAAAAATCATGTAATTCGAACACATAATTGCATATAATTGCACATACTTTAACAATAAACTTAATTTATAAATACTTAAAAAATATTTATATTTTTTCACTCACAGTACTACGTTCGCAAAATCTACCCAATTGGTAAGCTGTCCTGATATCAGTGTCGTCGCCTGAAATACGATATAATTTTTAAATAAACAATTAATTATTTTAAATAATTTCAATAATTAAATAGGCGATACCCAAACTTAATCATTTCACGTTTAAGCGATTTTCACGGTCTCTTTAATCACTAAAACTAATTTTTCTTTCACTTTACTCAATTTTATAGTTTATTATACTTAACCCCTTCAATAAAATTGAATTTAGTTTAACAATCTAACAATTATAAAATCAAACATAACTTAACAATAAGTAAGTTTTTACTTACCTTTCAAAATTGAGGAATTCAAGTCTAATAATATAGAGCACTTATATTTCTAACAGCATAAGTGAACTTTCCTATTTTTTTCTTCCTCTTCTCCTTTTTTTTCTTCTTTTTCCTTTCTTTTCCCTCTCTTTTTCTCTTTCTCGTTTCTTCTCTGTTTTCTTTCATTTGTGTGTATTATGTGTGTTGTGTGTGTAATTGGATATGTTTTTAACTTGGGTATACCGCCTCATTTTTTTTTTTTTTTCATTTTTTTTTTTTTTTCATTTTTTTTTTTTTTTCATTTTTTTTTTTTTTTCATTTTTTTTTTTTTTTCATTTTTTTTTTTTTTTCATTTTTTTTTTTTTTTCATTTTTTTTTTTTTTTCATTTTTTTTTTTTTTTCATTTTTTTTTTTTTTTCATTTTTTTTTTTTTTTCATTTTTTTTTTTTTTTCATTTTTTTTTTTTTTTCATTTTTTTTTTTTTTTCATTTTTTTTTTTTTTTCATTTTTTTTTTTTTTTCATTTTTTTTTTTTTTTCATTTTTTTTTTTTTTTCATTTTTTTTTTTTTTTCATTTTTTTTTTTTTTTCATTTTTTTTTTTTTTTCATTTTTTTTTTTTTTTCATTTTTTTTTTTTTTTCATTTTTTTTTTTTTTTCATTTTTTTTTTTTTTTCATTTTTTTTTTTTTTTGTTTGACTTTTCTTTTTTTTTTTTTTTTTTTGTTTTTAGTTCTTTTTTTTTTGTTTGACTTTTCTTTTTTTTTTTTTAATATAAGGTATTACAATTTATTTATCATGCGCAGCGGAAAATAAAACGGATTTCAATTCTTACCAAGGATCCCTCAATTAATTAATTTATCCAACTCTTGTTAAATTAATTAATTGACAAATCACAATCTTCTAGTTCTCCTTTTGTGTGCGACCCATCAGGTTCTCGATCATGATTCTTAACGACGTGAAATATTATTTTGATCTAATTAAAATTGATAAATTAAAACATCATTTTAATTTATTATCAATTCACACTCGTTGTCTCAGATTGACATCTAGCAATGTTTTAGGATCATGCATGTAACGGGAAATGTCACTTGGTATGACAAAACTAAACTTTTTCGTTTATCGTGAAATTATAATCCCTCCGTCAATATGATCCAATCAATTACGAGATATGGAAGTGTGTCAATTTCGATTATTGATCATATCTTCCATTTTACTGTTAAATCAACATAAGTCGAAAACTCATATTCGACTTATGAGTACACATTGGTCAAAGATTTTGTTATCGACTTAATTGAATGAAATGCAGATCATAATCTCTTACTATCTAAGAGTGACGAATCATCTATTGGTTATTCACAATCTTCATACAATTCTTGACATACTTGAACGATACCATATTAGCGACCCTTGGCAGAGGAACATTTAACACCGTCAAAGCATGACTGTCCTCATACAAGGCTCTATGAGGACCTCAAGTTAAAGGACCATTCCACTACGGAACGTTAGATATTAACCACTGACACTCAAATAGTTATCCATGTAAAATCTTTTAGGGGGTCTCTAATGTTTTGTTCTATAAAAAAACATCTACGTGTTTATTTAAGTGTCATCACACTTTAACTTGTGAGATCAACTACTTACTTCATAAGTAAGAAATGTCACACGTGATGATCTGTCTAAGTTGTTCAGAGAGCTTAAAATTACAGCATAGGGAGAACCAGAAAAATGCTACCAGATTGGAGATATTGCAGGGCCTTGATAAATCATCAAAATTGTTTCATATGGAAAATGGAGAGCCTGCCAATTCTGATCCATCTGCCAGCGTTAACTAGGATCAGAGATTTTATCAAACAAAGGGAAAGGAAAAGGTTACTGGACGTAGTTCTCCAAAATATTAGTTGCCCCATTGACTTCAAGAAGTAATAGATGGACCTAGTAAAGCCCCTGAACCTGTCGTGCCGCCAACTGTATCTGCAGTTGCAAAATCTATTCACATGTTATATGAGGAATACCTCCAAAATCCCTCCATTCATTGTTCCAGCACTGCCTCCATCCCATCCCAAGGATCTTCGATGCAGTTTGAAGAGGAAGAAAAGTAGACTACAAGAAGTCGAAAAGTTCTCTAAAAGATTTGCCAACAACTACCAAACTGGTCATCAAACCAACAGTTTTGATGCAACCACAGGGTCAGTTGTCATGTAAGGTCATCCATTACCCGAGGGAAAAGAAGAGGAGACAGCTATTGGGGACTCGAGCAAAACACAGTCCAATCCTATGTAGAATGTTTTTTGTATCATCACAGTCCAAAATCTAGGATTATTTAAATCCTTTGTACACAAAACAAAATTAAGATAGGGAAAGAAAAAGGAAATGCAGAATCAAATGAATAAACATCGATGTTAAAAATAATTCACTTTGATCAAATGTAAAACATTATCTGGTTCTTGCTTTCTCTACATTGTCCACAAATTATCGACATTACATGAAAATGGTAGTAGTGCATGGGGGAACATTGTTCCTGCACCAAAATTGCACAGAACCTGCATCGAACCTGCCCGATTATGTTTTCTAATCTATTTATTTTTGTTTTGTGTTTCAAGTTATATCGTATTTATAAGATAAAAAATAATAATAATAATAATAAAAACGCGTAAAATGGGAGGTATTTTAATATCTGTCTCGACCTTGCCTGGTTTTGCACATCTCCCTCGTTGAACAACTAAACAAAACCTATTCATATTGTTTTCTAGCAATTAATTTGTTTTGAAATTAATCCCTTTTTTGTAATTAGTTTTAATTTTTCAAGTTACCAATTAGTCATCACCTGGTTCACTGAGATAATTCTCTGGGGAAAAAAATGAGCCAAGATTTAGTCTCAAAATTGAGGAGAACTGTGAAAAATGATCATCAATGCCAAATAAGCAAGTTAAGGATTTAAAAGGTCAAATTTTATAGTTGAGGACGGATAAACAACAGTATCTAAAGATTAGGGACTAATTGTGAAATATACCCTTTTCTCCTCTCTATTTATTGAATACCCCGTAGGCCCTTTCTGTCTTCACTCCATAAACCCTAGCCCCTGACTTTCTCTCACTTTCAGTTGTTCTCTAATGGCTCAGCTTAACGCTCCCTTGATCCAGAAGAGTGAAAGAATTCTGTTTTATTTTTTGCCAATTTCTCATGTTTTATTTTGTTTACTTTTCTTGACTAAACTCACCAGTGTGGTTAACCGGATATGCATATGGGATTTGGGTATTTTTCTGTTTTTCAGCATGATCTTGACCTTAATAAACTGGGTTTTGATAAAGCTTCCAAATGTGGTGTCCGAAAATGTCGGATTTGTAATACTTGGTTTACCAATAGTTGTTGTGAACACAATAGTGTTCAAGATGGTCAGGAACTCCGAACAATTCTATCAGATCTTTGCTTATGGAGGTTTAATTTTAATGCTGTCTGCGAGGTTAAGCTCTGATAATGATTCACTTTTTATCCTGAGATCTCTTGTCTTTCAATACGAATCGTTTTCGATCACTTATTTTCTGGACTCTAAAGATGATCTTCATATTACGAAAGGATTATGGATGTTCGCTGTATTTATCATTGGCTTGTGTGTTCATGTAAGACCACATACTACTACTGCTCCATCTTTATTTTTGTAACCAAATCAGTTTTTTGAGGAGTTTTCTAACATTTTGACAGGTTTTTCCACATCATGATGCAAAGTTGGCTGTTAAATTCTTACTCCTGTTGGTGCCTCAGAAATTCTGTCCTCCCATAGCCCAGTGACTAGATAATTTTTGCTACCAGAAGAACGCATGAAAGATTGATAACTCTTTCCAATGTTTAGTACTAATCTTAGAAAATTAGTTGTTTTTCTTGAAATTTCAGTGCAATGATTAGACATTGATCTTTCTACTTGTATTGAAGTTCTAGTCTTTTGAAATTAAACTGGACTTCAGACAAACTAAAGTTTAGTGACACAATTGATATTTCACTAAGTTCAGTGACGCCAAAGAAATTTGTTCTGGATTATGATTGTATTTTTTCTGTATTTTCTTGGTTCGCCTTATTATTACAAAATAGCTACTGCTACCTTTTCATCTTAACCTCATTAAGTTCTTCATTTTTTATTTTTCCCTCTTTCGGTTGAGCAAATATAGTAATGCAATTTATTTTAGTTAGAGATAATCCGCATTTGATGTATATCTTGTAACGCAGAGGAAAAGAAGGATGAAGGTAGAGTTGAATCTAAATGATACCATAGACCCTAATGGTTGTTTAATTTCTCGATTTGTTATTATAGCTCAACCAAAAAAAAGGAAGACACTTCTTTTTCAATGTCCCCCCACCACTCGGCAGCAAATAAACTGCTTCCAAACCAATATTTCAAATAAAATTACCCATAATTTTTATGTTGATCTTATATTCTCAATGGAAATCATGAAATGCAGTCAATCTATTTATATAAAATACTGAATCTACAGGAAATAAAAAGAAGAAATAAGCGCATCAATTTTTTTTAGTTCTTTTTTATAATCAAATTAAGTCACGATTAAATTGTTGGTAAGCATTACTAATACCGTAAAATTAATTTATCCCTATTATCTAATTTATTTATTTCAAATTAACCCAACATATCATAAATAACTACAAGTTTTGACTAAGTAACATTTTCTTTATTGATGATTCCATGTTTTATTTAAGATCGTTAAAAAAAAAAAAAAATGCATGAAGAAGATATAGTTGGCCATTATATTACCTGAGGGAGAGCTTCTAGGGAACAAAAGTTCGGGTTCAATTAAGTTCTTCTTAAATTAAATTGAGTAATGAGTATTAGATCTGATCATGGATAGGTTCATTTCAATTTCAATTTAGTTCAATTTCGAATTTAAATCTAGAACCAAAGAAATAAAAACTAAACAATTTATTATTATTATTATTATTATTATTATTATTATTATTATTATTATTATTATTATTATTATTATTATTATTATTAAATAATCAAACTAAGCAACGAATGATTAAATGGTTGGTAAGCATTACTAATACCAGAAAAATATTTTTATTTCTATTATCTAATTTCTGTTTCATTTTTTTTTTCCTTCTCCTTGTAAATTTGATGCTTTAAAGCGAATGAATAAGTGATGGAAATGAAATTTGTGATAAGGAAAATATCAATCATGACAGCAACCTCAATCACCTCTAGAAGCCTCAATCATTTCCAGCAAATTCCTTGCCTGATTGCAAGGAATTCCAAAATAAGAGCAACCTAGAATCATGATATTTTCCCATCTGTACAGCATCATTCTTCTCCAGCAAACTCCTTGCAATCACCTCCAGAAGCCTCAATCACATCCAGCAGATTACACCAGAATATTCCTTCTAGCTCAACCAGATTCTAGATCCCAGACATCTTATTCAACGGATCAGATTCATTCTCTAGCCTTCCACACAGATCAGCCAGCTCTTTCCAGCTGTTACAGTTAGTTAGTTAGTAGTTGTTAGTTAGTCACTTTCTCTCTATAAATACTGCACGCGTAGGCATTGTAGTTCATTGGATTGTAATATCTTCCAATCCCTCCTTCATGGAGGTTTTTCATTTCCTCCTTTAATGGAGTGTTTTCTTCCTCCTATTATAGAGTATTATTTTCCTCTTTTAATGGAGTGTTTCCTCTCCTCCTTTTATGGAGATTTCTCATTCAATAAAATATAACATGGTATCAGAGCATATAAATGCTTCATGCTGCCGTCTTTCAATTTTTTTAGCATTTTACTGGATCAAAGTTCGTTTGAATCTGAAGATAACTTTGGCTTCAGATCAGAATTTCTTATTCAGTTCTGTACTCTTCCAAGCAGCTGGACGTACAGCCTTCTCAAATTGTTTGGTTTGCGAGACTACAAGACTTGATTTCTCAACCCCGAAATCAGATCGGGATTCACAATCAAGAAATTTGAAGGGGACTCCTCGTTGTCAGTAGATCCCGTGCATCACTTAGATTTCCAGTCTGCACAATCCTTTGAGCCTCTGAAATGCCTTCTGCTGCCTAAAGGCGATTTCTCTGCCGATTCACTTCCAAGTTAACTGTGGTATCTGCAGGGGACACAACTTTGGTCGACGTATTTCAACTAGAAACTCGAAGCACCGGAACTGACAAGTTGATCAGAAATTCTTTTTCCTCGTCTGGATACAAATCCCCAACGTTGATTACTGCTTGACATCCTTTTCACTCTTCTCTTTAGTAAGTGAAGCTGCACACAAGATGTTTGATAAAATGTAGAAGAAAGCTCTTCGTTATTATTTCTGGGAATGGAATACTGGCATTTTGCTTGAACAACATTATGAATTCAGCAATTGATCTATATCAGATTTTGTCTTCCTTAATCTTCAAGATGGACTATTGTCAATCTCCCTAGTCCATCTTGAGGGGGAGGGGGGGGGGTGTATCAGAATATTCCAGCAGATTACACCAGAATATTCCTGCTAGCTCAACCAGATTCTAGATCCCAGACATCTTATTCAACGGATCAGATTCATTCTCCAGCCTTCCACACAGATCAGCTAGCTCTTTCGAGCTGTTATAGTTAGTTAGTTAGTCACTCTCTCTATAAATACTGCACGTGTAGGCATTGTAGTTCATTGGATTGTAATATCTTCCAATCCCTCCTTCATGGAGGTTTTTCATTTCCTCCTTTAATGGAGTGTTTTCTTCCTCCTATTATAGAGTATTATTTTCCTCTTTTAATGGAGTGTTTCCTCTTCTCCTTTTATGGAGATTTCTCATTCAATAAAATGTAACATATTAACAGAATCTAGCAAGGCAGCAAGGAATACAGCTGGAGCTAAGGACTGAATGTTATTGGAAGCTAGAATAGTTTGTTTACCCACATGCAAGTAAACGTGAAGAATACAATGAATTTTATTCTTCTTCCTTTCTTCAATATGGTATCAGAGCAATGATAATTGCTCTCTCTTCCTTGATCAATTTGTAGTTGATTTGATATGGCGTCAACTACTGATCAAATTAATTCCGCATCATCAACTAGCAATTCCACTGCAATTGATGATATCTCCAGCCCGTATTACCTCCATCATTCTGATAATCCGGGACTTGTGCTTGCGTCACAGCTCCTTACTGGTGATAACTATTGTTCATGGAGTCAAGCCATGATGATTGCTCTCTCTGCGAAGAACAAAATCGGCTTTATTGATGGGTCAATAGCCAAACCTGACAACAGTGATGACCAGGTCAGCAATTGGATTCGAAACAACAATATCGTCATTTCATGGATACTGAATTCAGTTTCGAAAGAAATTTCTGCAAGTGTGATTTATTCTGAATCTGCCCATGATATATGGATCAATTTAAAGGAAAGGTTTCAACAAAGGAATGGGCCTCGTATATTCCAATTAAGGCGTGAGCTGATGAACCTCACTCAGGGGCAATTATCTGTGGGTGTGTATTTCACTAAATTGAAAACAATTTTGGAAGAATTAAGCAACTATAGACCAACATGCTCTTGTGGAAAATGTTCTTGCGGTGGAAATAAGAAGCTCTCAGAACATTACCAGATGGAGTATGTCATGAGTTTCTTGATGGGGTTGAATGATACATTTGCACAAGTTAGGGGTCAACTACTACTTATGGACCCAATGCCTTCCATCAACAAGGTATTTTCCCTTGTATCTCAAGAAGAACACCAGCACAATATAAGCATTAATGCTGGTATCTCCAACACTGGAGACTCAATGGCGTTCTATGCCAAAATCGATCCAAAGAAAGGCAGCTTAGGACAACACAAATTTCAGAAGAAAGAAAAACCAATTTGCACTTATTGCAAACTTGCAGGGCACTCGATGGATAAATGCTATAAACTGCATGGGTATCCTCTTGGGTATAAGATGAAGCAGAGATCCAACTTTACTGATCAAGTGGACAATCAGCCACAACATATTGCTGCTAATCAAGTGGTATTTGCGAATAAGTCAGAACAAGCACACACAAATGCAGAAGATTTCATGCATTCCTTGAACCATACCCAATATCAACAATTGATGAATATGCTGGGCAACCATCTGACTTCTGCAAAAACCAACACTGGAAATGATGAACATACTAATCAAGTCTCAGGTACTTGTTTTTCTATTGCACTTAACCCACGTCTAAATTCTCCTAAGCATTGGGTTATGGATTTTGGGGCAACTAGCCATATATGCTTCAGTAAGTCTGCCTTTTACTCTATGAAATTGATTGAGAATGCATATGTTACCTTACCAAAGCATAAAAGGATACTTGTGAGTTTTGTTGGAACTGTGAAGTTTAGCAATAACCTGATGCTTGAAGATGTACTATATGTGCCAGACTTTAAATTCAATCTGATGTCTGTAAGTTCATTGACCAAGGATTCAAATATTACTGTCAGATTTTTTGCTAATGAGTGTGATATCCAGGATACACACAATCAGAAGATGATTGGCAAGGGTAGGAGAAGTGCTGGTCTTTACATCATTAGTGCAATAGCATTGGATTCATTTCCAACTCACAGTAGAAATCTTTTGATTGATAAAGTTTGTGTTTCTGTTTCCTCAGTTGTAAATAAAGTGAATGCCAATACTTGGCATCACAGATTAGGACATTTGTCTTTTCAAAAATTAGCACTGTTGAAAGACTCTTTAGGTTTAAAGTTTGATCAAAGTAAGGATCATAATTCAATCCCTTGTAATGTTTGTCCATTGGCAAAGCAAAGAAGGCTATCATTTGTCTCTAACAACCATTTTTCTGCAAATGCCTTTGATTTAGTACACTGTGATACATGGGGGCCATACCATGTTGCATCACATTCTGGACACAGATACTTCCTTACTTTAGTAGATGACAGTACTCGTTTCACGTGGGTATATCTCATGAAACACAAGTCAGAAGTCAGTAGCATCATTCCCAGATTTTTTAAAATGATTGAAACTCAATTTTACAAAGGGATAAAGATGTTCAGATCAGACAATGCACCTAAGTT